TCCAACCGTAGCTTTTCACGAGAGGGTGGGAGGCGCAGCGAAGCAGTACCGAGTAACTGAAAATAGTTTGCAACGCAAGATAAGAAGTAACTGTCTATTAAACTCACAGAACAGGCAGGAAAGTGTCAAATAACCCTGAACTTCTTGAGAGTTGTGTTGGTGCAAGCTGCTTGTAAAATGTTTAGTCTCAACTGTGAGGAGTCGGACTTTGTTTACCGTCAGTAAATGAACAGACTAAAACAGTGCATTTTTCTCCACCATGTCCCTTTTAATTTAAAAATTATACTCTGCCTTTTTATGTGGGTTTTTAGGTTAAAATCTTCATTATCTGTCGCTGTTTGTAATGTAAAAAAAAAAAATCGAACTCTGACTGGTTAAAGTGCATGCATTCTCCGGTAAAAATATTCCTATTTTTATATTGTGATGTCCTGCTGGATACTGAAATCGAGGAAAACGTGACTAACCGTCACTTTATTGTGTAAATAGTTACTGTCGGCTGTAACCATGCCAGCACAACAACAAACTCGTTAGAGTGAAAGCATTCTCCGGTAAAAATATCCCAGTTTTTATATGAAAGGTTGGTTGCATATATATTATAATAACTGTTTTAGATTTAAGATATGAAATAATGTGTTCTGTTCTGAAGCAGGGAGAGGAGGAGCAATTGTCTTCCATTTCAAAAGGTTTATTTTACATCTAAGTACAAGATCGCCAGCCCTGGGCCATTGTATCGCCACCATGCGGTCACGAACAATGGCGCCGAACATAAACGGACAACCCATCTTCTTCAGAGCTCGGCCACACCTCCTGGAGTCGTCACCAACATCGACGAATGGAAAGTCCTACTCTTATCATGTGACCCAGCTCTCAACCAATAATATCTCGCCATCTTGTGTTCTATAATGGGTGGGTGCGTAAATGTTGGGAGTTGTAGGCATGTAGCTGAAACTACATTTTCTACCGGAAACGGAATGAGATCATGTTTTTAACACAATATCATTCTAAATATCAAAACAGGATACATATATCTAGACATTTCATTAAGTTAATATATTATCTGATAAAATTATATTTCAGATATGATGTGCACAATTATGTTGTGTTAAATTTTAGGCCAAGAGTTGATTTTTCTCAGTTCATTTCTTCACACCAGGGGCGATTCTAGAAGCCCTTTTTAGGGGCCTTAGCCCCCCCAGTGTTGACAATGGCTCTTGGCTTTAACCACGCAGTGTGTATTAGCATTAGAATTATTGTAGGGGGGACATATTGGTGCGAGGTCTGTGGGTCCTCCCCCATAACTTTTTGAATAAAGTAGCTGCTATTTCCTGCATTCTGGTGTATTTTAACAGATTTTAAAACATCTATGTTTACCTACATAAGTAAATACTTGATTCAATAACTGTTTTATAAAGCATGGCACAAGAAGAAGCACTAAGCTTTTTGTTTGTCTTTAATTTAATATTTCTACCTAACATAGGAGGCTGTTAGCTCTGGAAGCAAACTGTTAAACAGCTTTGGACACAAAGACCCTTGTCACACACTTCAACAGAGCAGGTAAGATACATAAAATCTCTGCCTGGTGAGGCTGCTTTAATACTTATAAAATATGATAAGTGAAATAAAGAAAGAAAAATTGAGCTTCTGTAATTTATATTTGCAAAGGTCACATAATCTCGACTTAATTTCAATTGTAAATCTCTTGTTTTTGATAACATTTTTTTTTTCTCCAAAAGAAAGGCCAACAAATTGTAATTTGTAGTCACTGTAACCCTATTTTGACTTGTGCTCTGTCTTCTTTCACTTTTAGGTTACACAAGGCTCTGGACTGGTCAAACTGTGGAGAGATGAGGTGGAACACCCAAACGAGCTCAACCACATAGACTGAACTTCTTGAGGACGTCATCCAATGTATAATAATGTCTTTAAGCATTTTTATTTGTTGAGTTCTCTGCTTGGTACATTATTTTTCTTTTTTTATTTGTTTAAACAATTTAAAACATGACAGTAATGTCACTATTTAAAGGAAACAATTGCTCAATAAATTGGTAAAATGCAAGTTATTAGAGGATGACACAGGAGTGGAGTTTCACTCCTGTCCTGTCCCAATCCTGGTAACATGACTCCTGCTCCTGTTCAGAATCACTCCCACTCCTGTCCTGCTCCTGTTTTTCATTTAATTTTTAGGAAATACATTGAATTTGATTTGATCTTCCACCCATTTCTGTTTAAATTACTTTGTGTTCTCTAGTTTTATTTCAAAAGATATGACAGAGATATTCCTCTGTCCAGGATGTGAACATCTTCATCCCTGGACAGAGAGGAACAATGGTTTGAGAGAGGAGTAAAGGAGGCCATCTTTGTGAAAAGAAACCGTCCATCGTTAAACAGGGGTGGAGGCCTCCAGGTTCAACTGTCCCCCTCTTACAATGCTGTTATTGCTAGTATCACTCAACCCCCTGTGAATAGTAAACTGCCATCAGGTGCTAATGACCCATTGTTAGGCTGATGGTCCTTCTTGAGCATGTGATCAGCTGGTTTTGGTTGTCAGCAGCAAACTGGTTGATCCACTCTGAGAAGGTGCTATTTAAGAGACTGAGCTGAAAACAGCTCCTCAGACTGAGGAAGTGTTTCGGATGAGAGACGAAACGTATCTAGATTTGTTTGCTTTGTTTTTTTGAATGTCCAGAGGACCAGATTGAGCATTTTAGATTTTTCTACCTGGATTATTGAGCATGCATCAGATTGGTTTACAGAGTTAGCAAAAATGCTAATCCACTAAACAAAAAAATATGTTTTAAAATTCTGCAACATCCATTTTGTAGTTTGAAACCTGAAAGGTTTGTCAGCTTTTGATTTATGAGTGTTAAAATAACCACACACAGACACTGCAAGTCCTTTTTATTAGTCTGATTTCCTTCCATTGAACTCTCCTTCAAACAAAGTAATTATCAAACCAAGGGAAGATAAAGAGTCAGATTGCAGCTGTATTTGTTTCAGGTTTAAAATTATTGATCAAACGACTAAGAATATTTAATTAAGAGGAAAAAATCATGATGAAGAAAGAAGTAAAAAAAAAAAAAAAACCCAGCTCTGGACATTAAAGCACAGTGTAACATGATAACATTTATGTTGAAGTCCTTCGGAAGGCCCACCGAGAAGACAGGAAGAGTTTTGTTCATAAACAACAGTCAATTTCAGAGGAAAAGCAAAAACTAATGTGAATTTTGTTGTCACTCTTTTTGTTCTTTAGCCTCCAACTTCAAGCAAATGTCAAGTATTTATTAAACTTTATGAGTAAATAAAGTCTTGTGCATATATTTGTTAAATGTAATTGTGACATCAGTGGTTAAATCCCGTTTTATTTTTCCAATTAAGACAAAAATAAAGCCTATCCTGTCAAAAAGCAACCCGTGGACAGTAATTTATAATTTTATGGTATGGTATAAGATTTGGTATGGTATGATATAGTGTATGGTTTGCTATAGTATATGGTATGGTATGATATGGAATAGTATACGGTATGGTTTAGTATATGGTATGATATAGTATAGTATGGTATGGTATAGTATATGGCATGTTATGGTATATGGTATGGCTGTCAAGGGAATTTAGGTACAGGTTATGGATGTTTATCAATAACTGATGTTAAATTAATGTGAGTTGGAGAGTAGTTTTGTCTGCTCTGCAGGCGCACGGAGCCTGCTCACCTGATACTCCAAGGCCTTCTCCAAGTCAGTAAGCTGGCAGCCCGAGGTCATCAGTGTCTTTCTGACTGACAAGCATTATAAAAAGCATTTCTTTATACTGTCCGTGGCGGACCTCGCGACTGGAGCTTCAGTGTAACATCTGTGTAAGCCTGTGTGTAAACGCTGCCCCTTGCAAGTTGTAAACCGGATAAAATCTTCTTGTGTCCTCATTGCGTTTTATTTTCAGTAAGTAGATAATTTTCTGCTTTTGAACAGACAAGACTGAGGTTTTGGTGTTTGGACCTGAGCATCTTAGGAATAATTTTTTCAGTCTCTCGCCCTCCTTGGATGGCATTAATCTGGCCTCCAGCTCTAATGTTAAAAAGCTTGGTATATTTGATAAGGACCTCTTTTATCCCCCACATTAAAAACGTTACTAGAAAGACTGGTTCATGCATTTGTCACGTCTAGACTGGACTATTGGAATGGTTTATTATCTGGGTGTCCAAATACGTCTTTAAAACGTCTTCAATTGATCCAAAATGCGGCTGCCAGAGTCTTAACTGGAGTTAGTGGGAGAGATCATATCGCTCCAGTTTTAGCTTCTCTCCATTGGCTCCCTGTCAAATCCAGAATATCATTCAAAATCTTACTTCTAACCTACAAAGCTCTCAACAACCTAGCTCCATCTTATATTCGAGAACAAAGCACTTCGCTCTCAGACTGCAGGTTTACTTGTGGTTCCTAGAGTTTCCAAAAGCAGAATGGGAGGAAGATCTTTCAGTTATCAGGCTCCTCTCTTGTGGAACCAACTTCCAGTTTCAGTCTGTGAAGCTGACACATTGTCCAGTTTTAAGATTTGCCTTTTTGATAAATCCTATAGTTAGGGTTGGCTTGTTATGCTGCTATAGGTTTAGACTACAAGAGGACAAACTGACCTCATTTCCTTAAACAAATTGATAAAATTGAATAGTCTTTATTTGATATTATTTCTATCTTAACGTGTGACTCTTGACCTGCCATTGTGTATCTGTTCCTCTCAAACCCAGCCGGTCAAAACAGATGGCTGCTTGTCCCGAGTCTGGTTCTGCTGAAGGTTTCTTCCTCATGAGGGAGTATTTCCTTTCCACTGTCGCCTTCATGCTTGCTCAAGATGAGTCTGCGATGAAGTTACCGTAAACTCAAAGCAGTCTGTTCCTCAGATAAATATATATATATATATTTATTTAATCCAACATGGTATAGTACTGGGATATATGGAACGGCATGGTGTGGTATAGTAAATGGCACTGTGTGGTAGAAAACGTGTTGATTTTATTTTACATGTAGTTTAAGGTGCAGTTTCAGGATGCTCATCTGATTAAAGGTTTTCCCACAAATCTCACAACCTAAAGCTGTCACCAGGGGGGGTTCACACTGGTGCTCCTGAAATTTACTGAAACTACCGAAGCTTTGCCCGCAGTTTGAACAAATGTAACTGCTTTGCCTGGTGGCGTCCACGCCGCAGGTGTCCTCAAAGCTGCCTGAAGCTGCCATATTAAACTCAAACGCTCCATCTTGGTTCACTGAGCAGTAATCGCTCACAACCGCCTCCTGTGAATCGTTTAGCTTTAGAGCGTCAGCCACGTCTGAGCTCCTTGGCTGCAACGCCATGATTGAACACTGCTCTTCTTTTTCTCTGTTGTCTGGACAAGTCGAGTCTTTAATCGAAACGTCCCGCTGCAGCTCATCGGCACCTCCTGCAGGTGAACCAAGGTGATACTTCACATTTTGTACAAGTACACAGACTGTCTGATCAGGGGGGTCAGTGCTTTCTTCTGCTACAGACGTCCACATGTGACTTTCGTCAGATGCTGCTGTGCCATTATCTGTTCTAATCTGACTTGCAGAGAGAAAATCCTCAGTGTTGGGCTCCAGCTTCACCATCACTGCTTCCTCTTGTAGACCGTCGACGTACGCAGGGCCAGGGACGAGTTCCTCTGCAGATGCTTGGCCGTTACCAGGTTCTGCAAAGTTCTCCAGGAGCTGATTATCAGGCACTGTGAGCATCAGGTGATGAGCATTCAGCACATCTGAGGTCTCCCCTTTGTTGACAGAAAAAACAAGCAAACAAATCGTTTATTATTAAAATGTTACCTTCGTCCTGTCAAATTGTTTTTTATCCAAAAAAACAACAACTTTGTCCTATTAAATATTAAAAAAATGTTAACCCAACTGCACAAATTGTGCAAATGTAACTGGTTTGCTTAGAGTTTCACAGCATGTGCGTAAAAAAATGTAAACTGAGAAAAAGAATGAATCTGAATCTGTTACATGCAGATGCTCATTGGTGGTCTTGAGTTTTATCAGACTGCAGGACTTTTTCTTTTAAGTTCTTGAAAATAATGCGTTTACACACCGATCTAAACAAGCAACAAATGTAATTTCATGACTCGGGAGGAAATGTCTTATTTTGCTTGATGAGTAATTATAAAACAAAATTGTTCTTTTAATTTTCAGGTGACTTGAAGCTCAGTGATGCTCATGAAGGACAAGTTTCCAAGAAAACGCAGACACATTTTAGCTTATTGATGGACTTGCTGTTGAAATCTCACCAATTGTCTGTTTTAGGCGTTACTCTGATGTTCAGCACTTTTCTACCAGAATCAGCATTTTGCAGTCGTTTTAAAATATAAACTAAAGACAGAAACGTGCTGTCACAACATGATTCCTGAAGTGATGGAAGCTCTCGATGGTCGTTTGTTGTTGTAGTTTTTTTTTTTATCATTATTACAGAAAGTGTTCAATAAACAATAATTGTCACTAAAAAAAATAAAGCCAGTTTTTAATGCTTTATTCTACCACAAATGGTCAACGGGAATTAATGTTGCTCTTTTTTTAACCAACATTAAAGAAAACACTGCCAAAGGAATTCAGGTGGAAAATATTAACTTTAAAGAAAAGAAAACTTTACATTTTGTCTTTCCTGTTTAACTCTTACCATTTCTGTGAGTCTTCATGTGACCTTTAAGGCTGCTCTTCTGATTGAAACACCTCCCACAGATATGACAACCGTATGGCTTCTCTCCCGTGTGAATCCGAAGATGTCTCTCCAGGTGTCCGACTCGCTCGAAGGTCTTCCCGCAGTACGAGCAAATGAAGCATTTCTTGGGTTTCAGAACCCGGATGGACCTGCTCATCGTCTGTCGGTGGTGGTTCACCGGGGCCTCCGACAGGCTTTGTGAAATGGGGTTACTGGATATGACGAGCGAACCTGAGGAGCCATACGACATTTGGGAAACGGTGCTGTTTTTCAGTTTGTCTTGGAAAGAGAAGTTGCTACAAGAAGCTTCTGCTGGCGGTTGGAGTAACTGAGCTATGTTAGGGAAGGAAGACATGTTCTGCGTCGAGCTGCTCGGGAGTTCTGAGCTGCTCGACTCTGGATTATTCTGTAATCCAGACGCCCATATTTGTCCGTCGCTTTCAAATGTGAAGTTTTGAGTTCTGTTCGCCGTTTGTTCGTTTTCCTCGTGAAACTGAGGCCGTGTTACATTTTCCTCAGCAGGCTCAGATTTGACTTGAACAGGTGTTGGCAGGTTCTCCTCGGTCCGTGTTCGGTTCTCAGTCTGGGTCAGGCCTGTTTCCTGAGGGGGGTGTGGATCAATGCGCGGGTTCCCCTCCAGATTTAGGATTTGTTGGCCAACCTGGAGCCCCTCTGGTTGTAACTCATTATCTGACGAGCAGAAAAAAACAATTATTCACGCACGAGGCTGAAACAGTCTTATCAATTTTACACGTTCAACTAATGACATATTTTATTTTTTGGGTACAGAAATATTTGTTTTTCTGCTCAACATCAATGTGCATGTTCTTTTTCCTGGACATCTTTCTAATAATTCATTCGAAAATTCAACAATGATTATCCCAATTTACTTTAATTAACAAATAAATAACTTTTACACATGGATATAAATAAATAACGATAAATAGTTAAAAAATAATAAGGAAAAAAAAACAGTGTGAACGTTTAATCATTACATTTTTTTAGATTTTTTTAATTTATTTATTTATTATTTTTAATAAAGTGATTTCAGAAAAAGATAAGAGCTGGTACCAGAACCAGTATTCAACTGGTTCTCTTTAAAAACAGCAAAGAACCAGTTTGTTTTCCCACAGTCAGCGCGCAACCACAGAGGATCTGATCCTCTCTGTGGAGAAATCTGAGTTTCTGTCGAGGATCGCAGCTCAGGGAGGAACTTTATCAACACAAATCACCATGTTTGCTTCATTATCTCTGCAAACAGACGTCCTTATATCACATATCTAGTGTGAAAATGCTTTTTTTAAAACAACAGTTAATGTTGGCAATATTTTTTTATACCGAGCAGCATTTATTTAAAACTATTCAATAATAGCAATGGAAATTAAATCGATGCATTAATCTTGTAACAAACACTGACTTGAGATAATAGAAAGACGCGACCGTGTTTATTTATTTAAACATTGTCCTGACTTGTCTTCGCAGCATTTATTTATTTATTTATTCTTCTTTCGGCTGCTCCCTTCCTCAGGGTTCACTACAGCGAAACAACTCGCATGAAGACTTCACAACTGTTTTTACGCCGAATGCTTTTCCTGACGCAACCACAGAGCTACCGTTAGGGAATCTGTGGTCAAAGTTTATGGATGTTTTTAACTTTTATGAATGTTAGCTCTGCCCACGAGTCGTATGTTTGGGTTAGTAGAAAGCTGAACGAGGTGAAGCGGCTGCGTGCAGCCGTCACTCCAAGGACACCTCGGGGTCCGAGAGCTTGGCTGAACTGATACGAGTATAAGAAGAAACTTCACACACTGTCCGGGGCAGATTCTTGTGACTGGGCTTCATGCGTCTACTTCCTGTATAACCAGTCCTGAAAGTCTGTCCTTGCAAGTAAAACCAGTTAAAAATCCTCTCCTGTCATTGAGTGCGACTCCTCTGGAGTGAGTCAAGAATATTTTTCTCCAACAGCTACCACAGGTCTATGGCACCCAGGGGAGCAGATGTGGGGGTTAAAGGACCTGGATGGGGCAAATGAGGTGCTTCACCTTCCCCACCCACATTTTGGTGTTGGTCCACGGAGATCTTCCAATCACAGGTTTTATATTATGCCCCTTTATAAACGACTGAAATTTGTGATTTTGAACGCAGCTCTGAGGAGTTATAAAGAGTGAGCTGTGCCAACTTCTCATTCGTGTTTAACTTTGTTTTTATTTTATTGTTCTTTCTTGAATTAAGACAAACTCGCAAAACTATTAAACATTTTACTTGATTGTCTTTATAAATCTGCATGTTTTACACTAAGCCGGCACGTAAACTGGTTTGATGGAAGAATTCCCAGTGAAACATTTCTATAAATCCTGCTTGTGTAACTTATCTGTACAGCTTAAGTTCAAACTTTTACTTACATCTTCTGTGAAGCTTCATGTGCTCCTTCAGGCTGCATTTCTGATTGAAGCGTCGGGAACAAATCTCGCAGCGATACGGTTTCTCACCCGTATGAATCCTCTTGTGTCTCTCCAGATGTCCGGCACGATCGAAACATTTGCCACAGTACGGGCAGATGAAACGCTTCTTAAACATCAGCCTCTTCACGGTCCTCCTCCGGACTGCGTTTCTGTACTGGCTGTAACCCAACAAGCCACGGCTGAACGGGCTCTGCTGAAAACCTCCAGAGTCGCTGCAGGACAACGTCAGCCCTCCACCCAGAGAGGACTCAGAGAGGCACGACATGTGCTGTCCTAAAGTTAGATAGTTTGAGTTGCTGCATCCCGTCTCTTTGTGTGTTGCTGATCTCCACTGCCCACCTTCATATAGACACTCCTCTCCTGGCTTGTCCTTTTGTCCTCTGGGTTCTTTGTTTCTCTCCTCAACAAGTTCACGTTTCACCTTCACTTCAGGTTCAGATGGGATGCTGTGGTTTTCACTGGGATGCACCAGGGTCCTCTCATCTCCAACCTTACTTTGACTTTCTACAGAAAAAAAGACGAACAAAACTAAAGTTATTCTTAACACTGAAAAATTTAGTCTTCATGTGAGCCTCAAATTAAACAGAAAATTTACTATTCTAATTTTTGGCCAAATAAAACAAGATAAACACATATATGGTACCCTTCCACATTTAAAAAAAATCAAACAACTGAAGCAACTGGAGCCAAAAAGCTCCAGTTTTGTCTCTCATCAGTTCAAGACATTTCTCTCAGAAACATTGGGGCTTGTCAACGAATTCCAGTCTGTTTTGTTTTTCCAAGGTTGAGGTGATTTGGGCAGCTGGTAAGGATGCCCCTTGGACGCCTACCAAGGAAGGTGCTCCAGGCATGTCCAACTGAGAGAAGACGCCAGGGAAGACCCAGGACACACTGGAGAGACCCTGTCTCTCAGCTGACCTGGGAACGCCTTCAAGTCCTCCCAGATGAGCTGCAAGAGGTGGATGGGGAAAGAGAGGTCTGGGCATCTCTGCTCAAGCTGCTGCGCCAGCAAACCAACACCAGAACAAGCGGCAGATAACAGATAAATGGATGGAGGCATTGTTTCCCTGAGGCACACCAACAAATGAATCCACATCTGCATGCACACAAAAACATTTATCAGATTTACTTGCTGCCAACCATCTGCAGACCATATGAACGTGTCACCTTGTGACACCAGATGTTTGTTGTCTTTGTGTAAAAACATAGCACACCTGACACTGAAACCAAAGTAAGCTTGTTAAACTGTAAATGTTATTTTTTTTTTAGCCATATATGTATGTACATATATTTAGGCATATTTTAGAAATACAGCAGCTGTTTAACTCTTCACCTTTCTGCACAGCCAGCTAAACAATAGAAATAAGAACAAACCACTTACATCAACTGTTCCTCAAAGGAGAATCCCTGTCAGATCATTTCCATCCTCTTTTCATATAATTTTAAACTTCAGAGCTCCGAAAACCACAACAGCTTTATTCTGATAATTAAAATTTTATTGTAAAATGAGTTCAAATGTGAACTTTATCCTAAGCTCAGCATACATTAAAGTGGGACTGTTTATTGATATTCTGGTTTATTTAATTGCTTTTCAATTGCAAACCTTAAAAAAAAAATGCTTAATTAAATATTTAATACAGAAATAATGCAGCATGGCTGGTATAAAGTTGATATTAGGAAATGAGGTGGGTGGGAACAGATAGGCCCCTAAACCACTATCTGCTCAGGGCCCCATAAAACCTTGGACCGGCTCTGGGTTGGGAAACATCAGGTCCAGCTCACCCTCTCTGCCGTGGAGCCGGTCGGGGCGCAGGGTCACCGCGTAGCGGGCTGCTCTCAGCTCGTTATGCAGGACGTCCACGGTGCTCTTCAGCCTCTTGATCTCATCCTCCCGCTGACACATTTCCAGCCGCAGCACCACCACACCTTCCTCCACAACCTTGGAGAGTTCCGCCACGGCTGCTTTGGCCATGGCATCGATGACGGAGGCGATCTGAGAGCGCAAAGCGACGCCGCTCAACATGATGAGACGCCTTCAAAACTCACGGACACGTCTAAACTTCAAAGCGACAGGAGCAGAGAAACCGGGGGCGCTCGGTAACAGTAACAGGCCGACGTTAGGCCCGCTGACTGTTCACATTCTGTCGCTTTTCTCATTTGGTTTTCAAAATGCAGCTGTGAGCTAGCAAGTACCAGCAGAAAAGATAAACAATGCTAGGTCTGGTTTTACGGAAGTGACGACACAATGCCGTATAAAACGAAGAAAAGCGCAAGATAGATTGATCGGAAAACTACCTTTACTAAAACAGCCAATCACCGAACGCCTTTGAGGCCCAACAGCCAATCACAGCACAGGTCCCGCCCACTTTGGCTAAACATGCACAGAGTCCTTCAATGACCAAAGCTGCCCATAAAAGGCAACAAAACAATCCTCCAAAAGAATAAAGGCAACAGTAAACAATAAAATACTGTACAATTATGAATTTAAGGATTTTTATTTGCCTTTTTCGCATTCATTCAACCTTCATTTATACGTTAGTCTCATATGCTCTCATACTGTATGCTCAGTGAAATTTAAAATTATATTTATAAAAAGCGTGGAAGCACAGGCATCCATTTAAACTGCAACTAAAAGCTGCTTTGATCTAAGTTTAATCTCTATAAACAGTTCAGTTTAACGAAAGAAAAGCTTTGCAGAGAGTGGTGAAGGCTGCACAGCAGTCTGTTGGGAGTCCGCCTCCCCACCATCACCTTCACACCTCCAGATGCAAGAAGAGGGCCACCTGCATCATGAAGGACCCCACTCATCCAGCACACACTTTTTGCACCGCTCCCTTCAGAAAGGAGGTTGAGGAGCATTAAGTGTAGAACCACTAGACTGAGGAACAGCTTCTACCCTGAGGTTGTTACTCATGAATCTCTAATCAGGATAATCACTGTGAAAAATCACATCATGTTGCTGCTGATCTGTTTCATAATCATCTGCTCAAACAGACTCATGTTCGTGCTGCTGTTCGGCGTATTGTTTTTATACTAGTGCTTAGTGTATTTTTAGTTGTTTTTATTGGTTCATATCTTAGAACTTATTACTGTTTTTATTCTACATTTTATACTTTTGTTGGATGCCACTGGGACCCTGTGTACACAATTTTGTTCCACCTCAAGTACCACATGTGGTGCGAATGACAAAGAACCACGAATCCTTGAAGTCTCATCTTGAGCAAGCATGAAGGCGACAGTGGAAAGGAAAAACTCCCTCATGAGGAAGAAACCTTTAGCAGAACCAGACTCAGGACAAGCGGCCATCTGCTTCGACCAGATGGGTTTGAGAGGAACAGATACACAATGGCAGGTCGAGAATCACGTTAAGATAGAAATAATATCAAATGGAAACTACTTAATTTTAACAATTTATTTAAGGAAATGAGGTCAATTTGTCCTCTAGTAGTCTAAGCCTATAGCAGCATAAAAAGCCAACCCTAACTATAGGATTTATCCAAAAAAAAAGCAAGTCTTAAAACTGGACCACTTGGACGCCCAGCGGTTGAAAACCGACTTATGGCTAAACACGTCACTGGTCAGGTTGGGGAGGGGGGCGGAGAAAACTACGGAGTCCGACATAAGATTTTTTCATGTGGGATTCAATGTCGCCCACTTTGGCCCCTGGAATGCATTGGACTGTGGTTTGAGTGACATGTGCTACGTTTCGTACTTTAGATTTCCATCAGCAAAATGTCATACTTTAGACACCAACATGCCATCTGTTTGACAGCAACTTATACTTTTCACTCTTTAAAAAAAAAAAAATTGTATAAACAAAACGGACAAATACCGGTAACAAACAGACGGTACAAAAACAAACCTTGAAGCACACATAAATTCAATTTGGAGTCTTCAGAGTTAAATGTACAGAAGACAAATTCAGTAATTCTTGAAGAAATGTTGGAGCGCAAATACAAAATAAATAAATACATAATAAACAGTAGATGCAACACCACAATCAACAGTCTACAAAAAATATATATAAAACAGAGCAAAATGCTTGTCGTTAATAAAAATTTAAACCTACCGTATTTTTGGGACAGTAAGGCGCACCGGATTATAAGGCTCACTGTTGATTTTTGAGAAAAATTAAAGTATTTTAAGTGCGCCTTATAGTCCAAAAAATACGGTACTTTTAAAGTTTAAAACACAAACAACAAGAAGGAGTAGCTTTAAACTGACATTAATTCAGTGCCGAGATAACACCTTGTTCAAATCCACAAACCCGTTCAGCACACAGCTGAGAGGAACAAGTTCCCGAGCAGCAGGTGAACCTCTTCATTTCATCTTAGTTAAAAGTTTCCCAGCGATCCTCTTTTTGCTCGGCTTCACTCTGCTGTGGAAGCGCTCGTGTCTCAGGCAGTTGTCTCGCCTGGCAAACGTTTTGCCGCAGATCTTGCAGCTGAACGGTCTCTCGCCCGTGTGCACCCTCTGGTGCGTTATCAGTCGGGTTTTCTGGGTGAAAAATTTCCCGCACTCGAGGCACCTGAAAGGTCTGAGGGTGTGGTAGGAGGTCTTGTGTTGCTCCAGCTGAGACAGATGAGGGTAGCCCTTGTTGCAGAAAGTGCAAACAAAGAGTTTCACATTCGTGAACCTTTTTCCTATTGAGACGATTGTGAATTTGCTGTCGTGTTCACCGTTTGTTTGCCCTGCTGTGGATCTCTGAGGCAAAGATGCCGACGGCCCGGCCCACTGTGGAGCAGGCTGCACACGCTCATCCTGAGGTCTTACTGGGCACAAATCAGATCTAACTGAGGAGGTATTTTCCATACTCATAGGGTGAATTCTTTCTTCTACTTTCACTGGAGAAGTTAAGCAATCATCTGCTAATTCTGCCCTTGAAGATGATAAAGAATTATAAGAACTTTGTGTGTCTTTGCAAGCAAAATAAGTGTCAACATTGGAGGTGAAAATGGGTGCATGCCGTTGCACTGGAGCAGGACTGTTCGCAAACATACTACAAGCAGACCAGACGGAGTCGCCTTCATTTTCTGCTCGAGAGCAAACGGCTTCCGGTGCCGTGAGAGTTGTCGTTTCTGCGATGGAAGTCTCAGGTTCTGGCTCTTGTTTCACAGCTGGACTGATGTTATGGTTCTCATCTATTCCACAGAAAGTACTGCAGAGTAAATCAGATGGTTTTAATTCTGGAAACACACCTCCTTCATGACGTTCATTCTGATCTGCAACAAAAATAAATCATTTGTACGTGTAAGAACACAAAAACATATCAAACAATGTAACGTTACCGTCTCTAAAAATATATATATAGTACGATTTATTAAAGTTTAATTTAAATTTACTTCAGTTTTTCTCATAAAATCCTAAATGTATCTTAATTTGCTGTTCCACTAATCATATAATTATAATTAAACTGAATTCAATGCAGTCAAATCAGACAAAATAAATTGTTGCCCCTTTTAAACCATTCTTTGTGTATTTTTTAGTTATTCAAAGTAAAAAAAGTCAAACACATTCAAGAGGATTTCATGACATTATAAAGTGGAGTTGATTAAAAGTACGCGTTAAAACCGGACAGATGATTTTCCTTTTTTTTAATTGCACGGGCAAAGGGTTGATCTGCGGTCATAAGGCTTTTAGTCATGAAATACAGTGAGCATTAAATCTTAGAATTTGAAACAAAAATGACCAGAAAATATATTTAAACATGTGCAATCTAAACAACAGAGCCATTCATACAATATTTATAATAACCAATTCAAAAAACCCATGGCTCCCATCATTATGTACAACTTTGACACTGATGCTACATGTTTGGTTAAATAAGATGAGAAAAAACTATTAAAATTATGGTAAAATGGAAAAAATTGTCAACCGATTTTGAAAGGATACCAGCACAATTTATTCAAGGATTTCAGTTGTACTTTATGAAGAAAAAAAACCTACAAATCAGTGAGACCGTATTAAACAGGGTTTTATTTGAATGGAGTTTGGTGTGACAGGTCACAGCCTGATGTGCAGGTTAGCCTCTTACCCCTGGAAGGGGTTTGCTCTCCCTCCTTCTCTGTAGCTCGTCTAGCCGCAGCTTCTCGAGCCTCACAGAGTTCAGCCTCCATCATCTTCAGACTGCGCCGCAGCTCCTGGATCTCGGTGTCCCTCCGCTGCACATCCAGGCGCAGGACCACGGCGCCCTCCTCCACCAGCTTCGTGATTTCTGCCACCGCAGCTTTAGCCAGCACGTCCATGATGGCGGCGACTTGCGTACCGAAAGCGAAGGGGAAAGTCATCCCGCTTAAAGTTTAAAAACTCAGCAGAGACGAAGTGTAGGTTTTTAAACTGCTAAACGCTTCCGTAACAAATTGGGGAATGACATAAACAAAACGGCAAAAGCGATTGACTCCCCGACACCTTTCTTTAGGGTTACTTCCGGCAAAACATTTGAAAGCGGATGTGACGTTTACAACAAACGTAAAACACCTAATAGATGCGAACTGAAAAATCCTTGGCTGTCTTATATATATTTTTTAATATATTTTATATTTTTATTTTTTATATATTTTTTTTATTAAAATTTACTTGCTGAAAGTGTATGTGCGTGTATATATGCGCATATAACTCTAAGATGAAAAAAAAAAACTCGTACACACGCTAAATGCTAAAAGTAGCAAAATACTAGCAAAAACTAATTGTAGCTAACTAATTATTTGGCATAAGTAGCAGGATGGTAGCTAAAAGTAGCAAAAGGCTAGCAATAAATTAAAAGTAGCAAAAAGCTGGTTAAAAGAAGCTGAACAGTGGCTAAAAATTAAAAGTATCAGAAGGCTAGCTAAAAGTATTGTAGCAAAATAAGACACAAAACAAGCATACTGAAGCAGATTTTTTTAAAGAATAATTCTTTGAAAGATTTGAAGATATTCCAATTTGGAAAAATGTAGTTAAAAAGGTAAATATTTTGGAAAATTATTAATATGACAAAAAACTAATAGCACCCAAGCTAAGTAGTTTGATGAATGAATAAAATCTTACAAAATATGAAGTAGTCCGATTGTCAAAAATGTAGAGAATAATGAAGCACTTCTGTCTATCATTGTGCAAAATACTTTGACTAGTAGATATTTTCATCCAAGATTCAATTTATTCTTGAACTTCAAACCACATCCTTATCAGTACTGTTTATGTACACATAATCTGTACACAGAAAAATAATTAACAAGTGTGAATATTGAACGTGAGGGATTCAGATTTTAGATTAATCTTTAGATTTTTGGATACAAAAAGTGTAACAATGCAGAAGAAATGAGAAATGATCCAAATGTGTTTTTATTAAAAATCCTCAAGTTGAAGCAGAAATTCATGTAACATTCAGACTTTACTTTTTTCTTCACTTTATGTTTTAACAGTTACAGTAATGGAAGCGGCTCAGTTGTTCAGCCGACAACATCACGTGCAGCTGCATCAGCCACGCGATGCAACTGAAATAATTTATATTAAAATAAAATCCATCTAATTATGAAAATACAGCCTTTTATTGTACATGGTAAAACCTTGTACAGCAGACTTAGTTTAAATCATCACTTTTTACAGACTTTAAAAAAATCTATTCACTATACGTTGCTGTGGTAAAACCATGCATGAGAAAGAATAAACAGCTTTGTGATTTTTATTGATCTATATTTTAGATTTTATATCAAAATGTGGAACAGGAAATTACACTGAATGCAAAACTTTTTTTTTTTTTTTTTTTTGCAATAGATTTAAAAACTGCAGAAAATGTCTGCTTTAAGATGGTGAGTGGAAGCTTTTACACAGACAAAGTTCTCATCAGTGATATTTATCCCACAAGAACCTCAGTCTGGGTCAGAGCTGGAGAACCGTGGAACCCACAGTTTGATTTAAGAACATAATGCACTATGACTAAAACACACATCGCCTGTGTGGAGTTGTTCTTTGGCTACAAAGTTTACTTCCCTAACCCATCTCCCTCTGCCTCGCCCTCTCGTATCCGCTCTTTCTCTCTCCTCATGGTTGCTATGGCAACCGCCTCATCAAAACACATGCTGAGGGGGCTGTTTCTCCTGGTGTCCCTCGTGGCCCCTTCGACCCCCTCTCTCCTGCTCTCCCTGAGGAGGGCCGGCCTCTCGCCGTCCCCATCCTTGTCCCCGTCCCGGGCCGGTTCTCCGGCTCTCTGCGCCTGCTCCGCCGGGACTCTCAGAGAGGTGTCTCTCCTGTCTCTTTGCTGCTGCTGCTGGCGGAGGGTCAGGGCGGTGATTCTGCAGTACTGAGGCTTCGGAGGCACGACAGGCACCGCTTTGACTTGGTGAACCTTCAGCTGTTTGGAAACAACCAGCTTTCTCCCGATGCCTGCCGGGCTGTAAGTGTCACAATTATCGTTTTCCTTTAAATCCTTTAGATCAGAAGTCACCGCCGGTGACCATTTGTGTACCTGCGGTGGGGTTGTGCATTCATCTCTCTGTGTGTCAACCTCCTCCTTGTCTCTGTCCACTCCTTCTCTGTGTTTATGCTCCAATTCTTGATGAAAAGTGTCTTTCTCCTCGGTTGTTGTTTCTTCCTCTGTGAGTTTTCCTGCATTTGTCTCTTGTGGTTCCTCCTCGTCTTCTCTAACTTCTGTCTTGTTTGCCACAGCTTCCAACTCTGTTTTCTCCTCTCCGTCTTTATCTGCCTGCGCAGCAGCAGCTGCCTCCCTCTGCTCCTTTTCCTCGTCCTCTATCACTTCACAAACAACGTCCTCAAACTCACTCCAAATGTCACTGTTTGTTCTGCAGATTCTAACGTCCTGCTCGTGGTTTTGGTCAGCTGCTCTTTCACTGCTTCCCTCTTCAGGTTTTTCTAAAACACATTGTTCACATGCATCATCTCTTCCTGTTTCATCTTCTCTAAAGCAGCCTTCTGTATGTTGTGCTGGAGATAAGGTGTCTCTAGATTCCTCTGTCAGAGGAGTTTCTTTCTCTAGGAAAGGAGGGGAATGAGGAGAATCACTGGGATGAATTTCAGCAGCTTCCTTTACGTCCTCAGCCGTTGTTTCAGCATTTGACTCATCACTGTCCTCGTTGCTTGGCTGCAGAAACTCCACACAGCAGCTTCTTGATGCTGACACAGATTTTTCACTTTGTGTGCCAATGCTTGTTGCAACACTGAAATAACAGATAAAAAGAAGATTAAACATTTTTAAAAAAGGCAGGAGTAAAATAAAGTATGAATTCAGGGTTCAGTTAAGGACATGCATCTGTTGTTTTTACACGTTTTTGCTTTTTTAAAAATAATATAAAGTAATTGAAAAGTATACCAGCAGGTGGAAATGTTGCAGAAAACCATTTAGTTTGTGGTGAGAGATTTAAGATGAGCTGTAAAATGTTTTAAAATGAAGTCAAAGTAGAAGGGTATTGTTGAAATGAGGTTTTGTAATTGAAATGAATAAGCATATCGATTTAAAAAAAAAAAAACCACTGCATAAAAAAAACGAGACAGACTGAAAATTTTTGTTCACAGCCAAAGTGAAACGTTAAAAACCACAGCCTGAACTTTCATAAAGTTTTACATCTGAGCAACCATTTTACCTGGCATAAAAACAATAAAACTGAAAATATTTTTTACCACCAATTCCTTAAATAAAACTAATTGTGTACCTTTAAATTCCTGCAGGAGAATACTTGAGAATTGGAAACTCCAAATTAATTATTCTTACATGTTTGATTTAAACTCTAAGTTCCTGGGAAAATAGACAGTTTATTTTAGATTTTAGCTACTTTGTTTTTCATTATATTTTTTATTGGCTAATTGTTAACATTATGCATAAGGCTAGTAATGTACAAATGAATGTTTGTGGAGAAAAACAACAATGACAACAAAAGAAATTGCAGCAATCAAACCGTTGGCTAAAAGTATCCATCCATCCATCCATTATCTTTACCCGCTTCTTCCACTTTGGGTCACGGGGTCCCCGGTGCCCATGTCCAGCAATCACTGTGCGAGGGGCGGGGTACACCCTGGACGGGTCGCAGGTCCATCACAGGGACACAGAGACAAACAACCATTCACTCTCTCACTCTCACCTAGGGACAATTTAGAGTTACCAATCAGCCTAACATGCATGTTTTTGGTCTGTGGGAGGAAACCGGAGTACCCGGAGAAAACCCATGCATGCACGGAGAGAACATACAAACTCCACCCAGAAAGGCCCCTGGACTGGGGTTTGAACCAGCAACCTTCTCGCTGAGAGGCAGCAACTCTACCAGTTGCCCATTACAAGCTAAATTATTTTTATTTTTTTTCATTTAGCCTTTATTTATCCAGGTTAGTCTCATTGAGCCAGGAGAACTCATTTTCAAGAGAGACCTGTTTAGGGAGCACATGGTGGGGTTAAGGACCTTGCTCACGGGCCCAGAGTGGGGCGAATGAGGGTGGGGGCAAGTGTGGGTGTTTCACCTACCCCACCCACAATTTTTGATGTTGTCGGGGCCGGGGCGTGAACCGGCGATCTACGGATCACAAGCCCACCTCTCTAACCTCTGCGCCACCACTCCCCTAAAGTAGTAAAAGCTAGCTAAAAGATAAAATTATATTTTAAAATGTAGCTAAAAACTAAAGTGGCAAAATGTAAAAGAAGCAAAATGTAGCTACAAGATAGAAGTAACAAAAATGTTAGCTAAAATATTTAGCTTTTTGGGGTTAGGGCTAAAATGACAAATGACATGGTAAAATTGTTTTTAGCTCATCTTTTGCCATTTTAGCTATTAGCTAATCTTTTGCTACATCTGGCCAGCTAAAATGACAAAAGTTTAGTTAAAACTAAGTGACAAAAAGGGTAGCTAAAAGCTAAAAAAAAAAAAAAAATCTAGCAAAAAGGAGCTAAAGGCAAAAAGCAAAAAAGCAGAACAGTAGCTAAAAGTAACAAAAATTCTTCAAGAAATATAAACTAAAGGTAGCATGAAAAAACAAGCAAGGCGAGCCTGTTGCCGATTATCTTTAGCATCCTTCAATTCTTTTTCAGTTGTTTAACTAAAAAGATTAGTTAAAGTGAGTTTAAATGTGTGTTTTGTGACAAAACACTAAGACTTAGTACAAAATGCTCCTGCTTTATAACAGAGTTAGATTCACTCATTTATAAGTGATTCGATTTCAACACTTGCTCTTGTCAAGGGCGGACACCTTCCCTCCTCTCCCTCTCCTCTTTGCTTTGCTCTGTCCTGTCTGTGAAACTGCTTTTGAGCCTCTCTTCTACAAATCTTCAGAATCTCCACGAACGGTTGGAAAGATTAATCTTGGAGAAGTTGTAAGCTTGACTTGAGAATGTGCCAAGCTTGGCAACACTCAAGACTATGTGCAAACTATATGTGGTGCAATTCGCCTGGAAGCTCTGTAAACCTCGATGCTCTGCCCCTCCCCCCATACCGAGGAAGTCTATGGACCAATCAGAGGGGCCCCGACTGAATAAACATTCTGTCATCATTTTAGGACTCTCTGGGTTCTATCTGACGTCGTCCTCAGCACCCCTCGAGAGTGTACGGATCTCTCCAGAGGGAACTATTTGATCTGAGCGATTATACCACTCTTATCAGAACTCTTGCAGAGCCTCTGTGTGTTGTCTCTGGACATGCTCACATGTCGGCGTCATTATGTGCCTGTGTGCAAACTATGTTGTCACTTTCACCACTTTATTGTCTGTCCAAACAGGTCTCACTTGTAAATAAGTCTTTGCGGCTCAGTGTGACTTATCTGTTTAAATAAAGGTTGAATGAATGAATGAATGAATGAATAAGTAAATTAGTTTTCACCTTTGTGTTTCGTCTTCCATTTGATCTCTTTCATGATGAACCTCGTCTTTGTTATCGTCCACTTCCTTTATCTGCTTCTCTTCCAGTCCGTCTTCATCACTTCCACCTTCCTCATCTGCAGCTTCTGTTTCTTTGTGAGCAGAAAGGTCGAGGTCCGATGACTCGGAGGGTTTCCTTTCAGAACTATGTAACTCCTGTACGGGGTCCTCGTCAGGACTGGAACAGTGTTGGGTATCCGTGTTGTCCGCGTCCACTTTCAACCCGGACAAATTGTTCAGGAAGAAATCAGGTGGGAGGCTCCTCATGAACATGCTCTCGTCGTCCTCGCTGCTGTAATCGATTTCATCGCTGTCGACCTCCGAAGGTTCTTCAGAGCTGGACTCGTCCGGCCCCTTTATGGGGGAGGTCGCGAAGGGCAAGCTGAGGGATTTAGTGTGTCGACTGTTTAGGTCGAGGCTGAGGGGTCTGTGCTGATTGGACTCTATCGGACTCAGGGTGGGTTCAACTGGACTCACCAAAGAGAGCATTTGGGACGAGTGAGACTGGTTCATGATTTCATACTCGTCGTCCGAGTGACCAGGAGGCTCGACGGAGAACTCGTTCACCTGGAAGTTAAAAGTGACAGGAAGTGAACTCTTCACAGCTTTCAAAACGTATTCACGTACTTTCAGAAGAAGTATTTTCCACCTGCATATCTCATCTTCTCCGCAGACAAATGACGCACCTGATAGGACAAGCCACACTCCATGTGGTCCATGACGCTGCAGTCCATCTGGTCCAGGAACTCAAAGTTATCTTGGATGTAGCCGGACAGCTTGTGGTCGTCCTCCACTTCAGTCGAGTTAAGTAAGTGAAAAGAATCCAACTCGCCGTCGTCTCCGTGGTGTGGCGCTGCCGCTGCTGGCTGATGATCCGTCAACTCTGTTCCCATCATTACTGGGAAAGATGCACAGACCAGAATTAGTGGTGAATATTTTTGGAAAAGAGCAGCTGCAACATAAAAACTCAGAAAATCTATCACAAACTAAACACAATGACGTTATTGATGCAGATCTACTTCATCTGTTAATGAATGTTTGGAAACAACCGCCTTTCATTGTGACTCGCAAGCTTCAATCTACTCTTATCTCTGTTTTCTGACTCTGAGTTTTGCTCTTAATTAATTTACCCATATATTCATTATCATCATCTGCATCTTGTGCATCTTGGTCATTAGCAGCAGCATCTTCACCATCCTCTTCCTCTCTGTTGAAGCTTTCAGCGTCTTGCTGCTCAGGCACATCTTGGTCTCCCATCACCGTCTCCTGCTTCAGTTTGCTCAACTCTTCCTCCTCTCCTGCTCCTTCACCTGCCGCTTCCTCTTTCGTCTCTTCTTTGTCCTTTTCTTTTGGACGTTCCTCCTTTTCCTCCATCTTTTTGGGCTCTTCAACATTCCACTCCATTCCTCTGCACTCCCTTCTCTCCTTCTTTTCTACCCCGTCTTTCCCGTCCAGTTTGTCCCCTCCGTCCTTTTCTCTTCCTCTGTGGACGATCCTATCACTGCCTCCTCCTTGCAGCACCCCTAATGCCAAGTTGGAGGTGATGTGTAGCGGCACGGTGACCAATGTGGGACCTGTGATGTGCATGGCTGCTCTTCGACCAGCTTTACTGGAGAGCCCTGGCGATCTGGACTGGACGCTGTCACTTCCCAGTATCCCTAAACTTTCAGGGTCAAGAGCCGTGTATGTGCCCTGGATCCCCGCGCCGCCACTCACTAAACCTGTCCCTCTGCGGTAGGTCACAGCGTATTCACTGCCACCAATCCCACCAGGAGACACAGCGACTTCTGAGGCAGGCTGAGTGGAGGTGGAGACGATGGGAGACGTGCTGGTGGACGGGAGACGCTGGCCAGAACGTCTGGACGCTGAAATACAAAAGACAAGTCACACCAAAGACAAGACACTCGGAGACAGATCAGATACTGTGATCAGGTTTTGCTTTGATTGGTTTTTAAAACTAAAACTTTCCTTCACGGTAAAAGCATTGAGTTAACATTTAAACAACACGGTAAAGGTTTCATTGAGGAAAAAAAAAACATTATTAAGTCATAAAAGAACTGTGAAAATGTTCTTGTGAACAGCACCTTCGTTTGAATAGGACGGAGTGCTGAGGGAGTCCATGCTTCTCGCAGGTCTCAAGGAAGTCACGTCTTTCTCTGAAGTTACAAACAACAAAACAATTCTTAAAACATATGCCATATTTTCCGGTGCATAAGTCGCATCAGTCAAAAAAAGCATCAAGAAGAGGAAAAAGCATATACTGTATAAGTCACTTTGGCGTATAAGTCGCAGGACTGACAAATCTACACAAAGAAATCTGTGACTTATACACCGGAAAATACGGTAATTTATATAAAGCAATAAAAGTAATCTCACAGAGGCTATATTTAGTTTCTACGTCTAAAATATTCTCTTCTGCGTTAGCTTCACTAGAAGATGAACGTAGCGTCATTTTTTGATGACGGGGCCTCATACCTTTGGTTGATTGTTTGTGCCTCCATCGTTTGTCGGGGAATCGTTCTTTGATGTTGAAAATGGACATCCACTTCCTGCCTTTCAGCGATCCTTTCCTCCTGAGGTGACAAAACCGTTTTCATAATCAAAATGGATTAAAATTATATCTATATTCTAGCTAAGAAATTCTGACACTTCTTCTGTCAGTCGTTCCCTCTTCAAGGGTCATCCTCCTCCATCTCACTCTGTCCTCTTCATCCTCTGTCCTCACTCCAACTCCCTCCATGTCCTCTCTAACTGCACCCACATATCTCCTCTTTGTCTTTTCCTGGCAGCTGCATTTCTAACATCCTTCTACCAGTATACCCACTGTCCCTCCTCTGGACATGTCCAAACCTTCTCAGTCTGGTCTCTCTAACTTTATCTCCCAGTTGTTCAACCTGTGCTGTACCTCTGATGATCTCATTCCTCATCTTATCCATCCTTGTCACTCCTAAGGAGAACATCAACATCTTCATTTCTTCCATTTACAGTTCTGTCTCCTGTCTTTTTGTCCATGCCACTGTCTCCAAACCGTGCAGCGTAGCTTGTTTCTCTAGTCTCTTGTAAACGTGATTTATAATTTGAACAGATACTGTAATCACTGTGTTTAAACCTGCATTCAGCCTGACATGAGTCGAAGTTTGCAAGAACTCTGCGCTGAAATGACTCTCCAGATGAGTTATTACTTACTTGTCTGTGCCTTCGATGATGGCGTGGTAGGGTCTTATCGGGAGGGGGCCGTCTCCTGGACTGATGTTCCCAAAGTTGGGCTGAGAAGTCTTGAAAAACACCAAGTCCTGTTTGGAAATCGCTGACGGAGAGGGGAGCGACTTCCTCCTCTCAGAAGGGGCACCTGAAGGAGGCAGAAGAAAGAGATGACGCACATGTGTGTTTGACACGAGAGTACAAATTAGTGTGTGTGTGTGTGTGTGTGTGTGTTTGTTGTGACCTTCTTCAGGAAACAGCTGAGGGACGTGTGTGAGGATGAACTCCACCACAATGGACTGGACCCGGACCTCCATGAATGCTGCTGTGCCGTTAAACCCAGACGCCTCAATGTCCTTTGACCTGAATACGTTGATAAACAGATTGGTTCAATGACTGTTGTCTGGTGGGAATAAGGAATAAGAAAAAAACAATGCAGGTTAAAAAGTAAAATATAAAACAAAATGACAAAAGAAGAGTGGCAGAGGAAGAAAAGATGGGATTTGGAAATTAAGAAACTACCGTATTTTTCGGACTATAAGGCGCACCAGATTATAAGATGCAATAAGCAAAACTAAAACGTTTTGACAGATTTTTGAGCACCGTGTACCACATAAAATCAGTTCGAGGTCAGTAAGCACAACCAGAATTAATACATAAAGTGCACCTGATTATAAGGCTCACTGATGATTTTTGAGAAAATTAAAGGATTTTAAGTGCGCCTTATAGCCTGAAAAATACAGTAATGAGTGTAAAAATAAATAAATAAAGCATCTATTTATAAACATTCCCTCTGTCAAAAATTGCTTCATTAATTAACTTGTACAATTCTACAATTGCACCATTTAAAAACAAATGTATTTATCCATCCATCCATTATCTTCTGCTTGTTCTGAAGTTGGGTCACAGGGGCAGCAGCTTGAGCAGGGAAGCCCATTTAGCAAAAACATTTAACTAAAGCAGAGGGGTCCAAACCTGGTCCTCGGGGGCCTCTATCCTGCACGTCTTAGACGTTTCTCCACTCCATCTCACCTGATTTGAATCTGTGGGTGATTAAAAGTCTTCTGCAGAGCATGAAGAGGTAACTCATCCGTTGAATCAGGTGTGTTAGAGCAAGGAAACAAGTAAAACGTGCAGGAAAGTGGCCCTTGAGGGCCAGGACTGGACACCCCACTGTGTTCTGATGGTGTATTCAGTTGGAGATCCTTCAAGATAACAGGACAAGTGGAGCAGAAGTGCAAGAGAGAGCAGGTGAGACACGTTTAGTGACGTTAGGAAAGCAAGTGTTGATGCACAATCCGTTCAGAACTTAATTTCTCTCTGAACAGCGGCTGCGCTCTCCTATAAGCTCTGCTTCATGTCTGACTGAGTTTCTACGTCCAAAGACAGCAGCAGGTAACACCGTGTCTCATATCACCTGAGCAGGTTGGGGGCCCAGACGATGGCCAGGTTCCGTGCGTGCATGCTGGTCTCCGAGGAATAAGACGCCATTTTGACGAGATGACGCATCAGAAACTCCAGAGTTCTGCAACGCCGACAGGTGGTGGTCACTTTTTAACTTGTTGCTGCTTATTTGTTGTTTTTACAGCAAAGTTCTCCAAACTTTTCATGTTCCAACAAACTAAACAGCTGCAACAGAAACTTGTGACCCTGGCTATTGCAGGTTTAAGTACACAGACACTGATGACAAAACAATTAAAAATTAAAATGACAAAACCAACAACCTCATTTCAGCTTATAGAGCGGGCTCTGTCAGCTCACGAGGAATTATTTGGGTGCAATAACTTTATTTCCCCAATTTAATTGTAAAGTTCAACTCAAAGTTTTTATTTTGTTACATTTATTTACTATTTAGTTATTATTTAAAAAGTGAATTCCAGTTAAATGTCAAATATTAGAAGTGTTAGAGTTATTTTTCTTTCTGTTATGAGTCAGATTTGTAGTTCTGAGGTTCTTGAAAAATAGTGTGGTTTGGGTTTTAAATCCTTTAAATTTGGAGAAAAAAATGATAAAGGAATTGTTAGTTTTTTTTATATATATATATTTATAAACTTACTAGAGAATTATGGGTCATTTTGGTGCATGGTGTTCCTTTTTATACACAAAAAACCCCCCTGAATTTTATCAAAAAATCTGAAATGTCTACCAGTAATTTGTTTGTTAACCAAAAAACTCAC